TTTCTTTATACCGAGACAGTTGCGTGTCTGTTACTGATTCTATTGATTAAGTATTGGAAGGAAATACTGGTAATTTCAAATAATTAAAAATGTTGTTAAGACTATTTCTGTCTGGCGATTGACGACCTAACATGCTATAGGGCTCACATGGTTGATGACTATAATTAATCTGAGTGAATAACCTGAAAGTTTTGAGGGACTTGAACAAGGTGTTTCTGTACATCACTAGCAAAATTCTGGCCAACTTGATGGACAAGTGATAGACAGGCCAATTATTGTGGTTCTGTTTTCACTATTAAACAGTTTATTGCTGCCCTGGTCTCTATTATTGTATAATTTGGTGTGAAATACGAGACTAGAATAGCAGTTATACCCCTTTAACATATCACAGATCTCAATCTAACTGAATTCCATCAACACTTAATACTTGAACTTCATGTGTGTGTGGAGCATGTCAATTACATGTTACCTTGGGCTAAAAATATACCATTATTCAAAGAGCCTGCCAATCAACTTTGCATAAATGAATAAGACCTCTATACTCTCTATGAATTATAATTTTCATTTTCAGACACTGGCATTGATATGTCTTAATCAAGGATAACGCTTAAAACAATAAGATACAAAATTGGATCTATTCTGATTCAGTCTAATTAAGCAAAACAAATTTGTAAAAATCACCAATGTCATGATACAGCAATTTTACATTAACCGTAGCTGATCTACATTTAAATAATTGAATATATATTCTTTAGATGAAAGAGAAATTTTAATTGACATGCTATCCGCATGGATAATAATCTAATTTGTTGAATGTGTGGTGACATGCACATTGTCTTCTATCTACATGTATCATCTTCTCCAGCCCAATGTTCTTTCAAAATGATAACTGTTTATGGACAAAATTAATATATCAATTTATTTTAAAAACAAATTACGAAAGCAATTTCAGCGATTACATCGAGTAATGACAGACATGTCTTCATTTGTTATATTTATCATTGTTTTGAGAAATGGAATTTAAAATGAAACCAATCATAACTGACATCTGAGCTAATAGAGTAATTTGTTTTTTCTTTGAAGTAAATTTATGTAATATAGAGAATGATGGTTTCAAGACGGCAGCCATGTTATTAATTTTGTTATCAAGCAGAAGTGAAAGTTTGTAAATGACATTATGAGGAATGTTGTATGTTTACTGGTTACTGGTAGAGATTAGGTTGATTAGAGAATGACAAGTTGTCATATTAACACAGGTTTACAATGATTTATACCTACATCTATATAATCATATATATATACAATATGTATGTATCAGTGTTTTACTTATCCTTAGATACTAAAACATATTATAAGGCTGTGTTTGCATTAAACATGCATTATTGCAGGTCTTTATTCGGGCTTCAACTGTTATATAAACTATTATTTAGACATTTATTCACATGACAAGTCTATAATCAACTCTCTAGACCATCGGATGGCTGAGATTTAAAAGGAATGAAACATTGTCGCCATTAAATGATTTCTTTTAAAAGTTCTGAATCAAAGCTAAGTCTCAAATAACAGTTGTTACGATAATAAACAATCTATGCCACATCTTTCCAAAACTTCAAACTGTGATAACTTTGCTCAGAATAAAGTAATTTGAATGAAATTGTCAAAATAATCATTTTGCATTATCTATTTTTGAACTATTTTAACAAGAATGGCCAGCTCTTATCTCAATCTTACATAATGCATCTTTAATTTAACGAAATTGCTGAGGCAATTATGTGTTCAATAAAAACTATATATTAGTTGCTGCAGGCTTATCTGCTATGTTGCACTTTCTTGACAATTTCAATGATCCAACAAAGCCAATCTGTCTTGGACATCAAACTTACAAACACACATCTACTTTAATTTTAAGCTAAAAATCGATGCATTGTGAAAATACAGCTTCATATATACATGGCATTTATAGAATAAATTTGGGGTGTGCCTTACTAATCATATCATTATCATCAGATGGATTTGAAATAGAGAATTAAACTGAATAAAGGACCCTTCTCTTGTCTAATTTGAAGAAAAGAGTTGAAGCAAGATTTGAAGATGGAGCAGGAAATGTTATTACTTGTCACTTACATGTCAATCAAATTCTCTCTGACCCAGGATTCTAATTTCAGATCACACAGTGACCGTCTGTAGTGGGAACCACTTGACCACCTGATCCCTGTTATAACTGCACTTCTTTAACCCCTGACCTAACCATTTTTAAATATCCTTAATATTTTATAAATTACTTTTAATTTTCTACAAATTTATTTCACTGTACATTTGTTGTTGTTTAATTTAATTAATTTTGTGCCCGACTCAGAGAATTATTTTCCTAGGAAATTTAAATAGAATGACAGTGTGTATCATATCTTCATCATCGCATAGTACTGGTAACTATACACAAACCTGGGATTAAACTGGTGACTTGCATAGATGTCAGACTTACGATCCATAAAAAGCAATAATTTAGACTTTTTGGCCACCCATCCTGGTGTATCAGAATATGTGTTTCTAACATGGTTTTGGCTACCCATCCCGGTATATCAGAATATATTGAGTTTTCTAACATGGTTTCAGCTACCCATTCCAGTATATCAGAATATATTGTGTTTTCTAACATGGTTTTGGCCACCCATCCCGGTGTATCAGAATATATTGTGTGTTTTAATATGGTTTAGTGATTGAATACAAAACAAACAAGACCACTATTTAACCAACCTCATTAACAAGTTATAATAATCAACACAGCTGTGTTTCTAGACAGTATTACCCAGTTTTTATATTTTATTACCCACTTTATATTTATATATACCAATACAGTCTCTGATTTTTACAATAAAATGGTGTTAGGAAACACATAACTTTTCCTGAATGAAGAATACTGTCTCTCTATGTGTTCTGAAATCTTGAAGAATCCAGATATGAAGAAGACATTTGTAACAAAAACTTTAGTCCACAAAAATGTTAGTAGTGTAAATAGTTAGAATGGTGCTCATTCAGGAGGATACCTAGACCTAGATGTTAAGCTTTATCGGAACCTAACGTAAATGTGTCTTAATGTAAATGGGACCAGATCTATACTGGGTATTTTAAGCTTTACTGAGACCCAGTTTAAATGGGATTATAGTATAAATGGGTCAGATTTGGACTTGATATGGCAAGTTTTCTTTGGGCCCAGTTAAAACAGAGTTATAGTGTAAATCGGGCCAGATCTGGATTTGGTGTCTTTTATCGGACATAGTGTTTATTGAATTAAGTGGGTTTTTTTTCCATTCCAAAAGTCACGGTATATTGATGTATGTGTATGCTTTGTATACTGTTCTTAATGGACGTAATATACAAATAAAAAAGTTGAAAATGTTGGTCCTCTGATTTCTAGAAAAAAAAAAAAAATGGCTACTGTATGTTTGACTAAAAGTGAATGAAAAAGTAATTGGAATGTAAATGACCTATGTTAGGACCATCTTGAACCTGACCCGATGGCCTTGATATCAACCCCACGCCCCATAACCTACATTTTATAAAACAGATCACATGGATGGTGTTGGTTTTAGATTATTTAACAGCAAATTTAAAATTCAAATTACGAGGATGTACACAAATGTGAATGTTTCCTTGTCAAATCTTTTTCAGAACCAAAGCTTTGACATTTCAAAGGAATACTAAATATTACATTACAGTGATAAGCCATTAAAAGAATCCTATTGATGAAAACTAAAAATTATATTATTACGATAAGCTATTGAAAGTATCTCAAGATTAGCTAATCAATTTAATAATCTACAGTATGGAGGTTATTTAAGGGTAACAGTTAATAACTTCATTATTTCTTTACAAAAGATTTTTGTTAGCCACAAATTAAGACAGCTAGGACAAGCTGACATGAAGTATTTGAAGAGTACTAGAAGTCTACTGATGTATACATCACAACAAAAGATGACATAAATGTATTGATGAGAAAAAGATTTCAAATTCTTTCTCAAATGTCAAATAGTTAAACATGGTCTTTTTTAAGTATACATGCAAATTGAATATCGATTTGCTCTTTGAAACATCCTTTTATTTGAATAACAATTTGCTTTTACCATCAAAACAAATTTTTATCTTCTGTTCAACAAAAAAGTTTGCATAATTCTTTCAAATTCCCTTTCATATTTGCCATCATAAATTTTTTTTATAAACATTTTCTTCATTCAAAAAGTTTTTAATTTATATTGATAATAGTTAATTTCAAACATGCTTTTAGATCTGCTTTCATAAAAACATTGTTTTGTTTATCAAAAAAAAAAAATTTTCCAGGGTTCAAATTGTTTATCAATTATTCCAATTAAAAAGTTTGTATAATTGTGATAATGGTTTCTTTCAAATAAAAGAAACATTTATTAAGATTTATGAAGCTAATTATCGTGAGTTTTTTTTCAGTATTACTTTAACCTATCTAGTATAATTAAATATACTCGACATTTTACAACATCTGTTGTGTGTTATCTAGACTGTGTTGCATGCAAACAATGATTCTCAAATCAGAAAAACAATGAAAATGCATGTTTATGAATTATTTATTATTAATTTATTCCCTGTTTATATCATCATTTATAAAATCTGTACTGTTATATTTCAATATGGTTGTGACCATGTGGGTTTGAGGATGATAACAATGACAATGTGAATGGTGTAACTGCTGTTTCTATAGCGTCACTGATTTCACTGTTTTCAACTAAAGTCTTCCATGAATTGCTCAATTCTGACTCATCTTTTTTGTTAGTAAATATTCAAATTTTCGAAATATAGTTTTTGACATTTAATAATTACTTTTTATTTTTCAGTCTGCTTCTAACTTAACTGACACTAAAATTTAGCATTTAATACTCCAATATGACTTCAGGTAAACTATAAGCACTGTGAATTTAACCCTATATTATTGGTACATTTCCTAATGATAGACTTCAATAATATTTTCTTACCTGAATCTTTATCTACAGCTGTGACATCAGTAACACTGGATCCCAAAACGGCATTTTCTGCTATTACTGCCTGATATGTCTCTCTTTCAAACAGTGGAGCATTATCATTATAATCTTTTACATTCATATAGACCATAACTGTAGCAGATCTTGGTGGAATACTGCCATCTTTGGCTATAACTTTCAGGGTATAAAGCTGTATCTGAAATTTTTAATTTAATAACTATTAATGTCTGTTTAATAAATTTTGTTCAGATTACTATTGAATATCAAAACAAAGTTTACAAAAACCTAACAGAGGGAAATTTCTGAAAATAATTATTTTGAAGGTGGATTTAATGACTAATACACATAGACATTTTAAAATATTCCACAGTTATAACAATATACTAGAAACCAATATACATATTCAGTATACACTGATGAAGTAATATACATATAGGTGTCAAGGGCTAAATATACATTATACATGAAATACACATAGAGGTGTCAAATGTTAGAAATTGAAATAACAAATAACATGGAGGTGACAATCTCATTAGAAATTATGATAGCAGATACAGTTAAGGTGTCAGTGGCTTAATACACATAATACATGGAATACACATAAAGGTGTTAATTATCTAGAAATTATGATGGCACTAATAACAAAGGTGTCAAATATTTTAGAAGTTATGATAGTCCATACACAAGAAAAGAATTAAACACTGGTTTGTTGGGATTGAAATCCAAGAATTTAAAATAACCGATTTATTAAGGATAAATTTTGAGGAATAAATGTCATGTATTAAAACATGCGGTGGTCTGATACCTTAAAAGTATAAAGTCAAATTCATTTACCACAAAGTATATGTTTATTACATGTTTAACTTTTCAAGTATATATACCTACAAATGTGCTCTATTATAGAATGATAACATCATAGTAATTTGTAAAATTTATGATATCTATACAAACTGTAATTAATTTCCCAAATAGCTATTAATTTATTTGAGATAAATGAAGTACTATGAAGCGAATAAACGCACTCAAGGTTCATATAACTAATATATATTTAACATATAGTATGTAAATATAGGCTACATCCACCTGAAATTTTATCTACCTAATACTTTTTGTGTCAATAATATTTGAAGAGTCTTTGACACACAGGAAAACCTAATTTATTCACAATTTATATACTCTTCATCCACGCATTGACAGCTCTTCATGTCATGTAAACTAACACTTTTAGAATCTTGGAATTTGATGTAGTGCACTGATGTCTTAATAAAAGTGACGACCAGGTAGATATAATTATGGGGTGGTTTATGTAAGAAAGGCACTTGTTCCAAATATAAGTTTATGATTACTTTATTTATATATTCAACCTATCGGTATACATATTACATGTTTATAAACTACTCAAATATGTTAATATATGTGGATCCTAACCAGATAATATCTCATTTAGGTATAAAATATTCGCTTTCAATTTTGATCAGACAAATTTTCAAGTAGGCCTAGCAGGTTTAAAGAAGCGATATATATTAAAACTAAAAACATCAAAGGAATTTCAAAGGGAATTTCAAGTATTTAATAAGGTCATGTCCAGTATATGTTGTTGTGTTTTGTATGATTTAAGTAGATATAAAATGTATAATTTATCTGTTTGATTTAAGTAGATATAAAATGTATAATTTATCTGTTTAAATGTCTGATATTTTTATATTATTAACATCAATACTGTCAATTCTCCGTTTGAAATTTGTAACAAGTAGACTATGGAGAAGTCAGCATACAAAAAACCACGACCAGAACGTGAATCAATATCAGTCAATTTTACTTGCCATAAAATACAGAATTTTTTTATTCAGATCAAAATATAGTATTTTGGTGGGCTGATCAAGATCTGTTTTTAAAATCCGTGATAGGCAAGTGCTGTTCTTCAATTTTTGTTTCAAAAGATTAACAAAAGGTTGGCTTTGTTTTGGTGTACTGGTATTTTGTTGGTAACTAAACAAAATAAGCGGAAATGTGGACATTAGATTGCGACAAAATTTTGAAATGACAGCCCAGGTGCTTGCGAATATAAACACAAAGAATCAACAGTCACATTAATTTCAAAATTAGAAGTCTCAATTGTTAGGTCATAACAGTTGGTAATTAAATTGTCTGTTGTCCAATGTGTCTGGAAAATATTTATAACCCCAAACATTACAGCTCTTTAAGTGTTGATGGCTTTAACTTCCATTAAGTAGCATCAAATATTTATTATGTGTTGACTTAAAACACCAGGGCTGGCTAAGTGGGCCGTATTTCACTAGATTTTCGTAAGGTGAATAAGAGAAGGTTATTTTCTCATTACCTCTTATTAAATAATAAACCACAGTCTAAGACAGACAGAATGTCTGCTCTTCAAAAACCAATAAATTATTCTCTTTTTTTTCACAAGAGACATAAAATATCCAACATTCTAAATCACCCATACTTGTTAAACATTTTTATGTAAAGTTTTATGGCAAATTGAACGGTTTCTATTAATGTAACTAATTTGCAATAATTGAAACTACTTAAAATTGATTGTAAGGTAACACCGCTTATATTTGAAAAATGAAATGGTTTCTATTAAAGGCTCAATACCACTCTTGTTGTAACTGAATAATATGTCCCAATCTTTATTCTGGTCAACAAATTGTACTATTTTAGAATATGTCAATTAATTGATAATACAAATTTCATCTTAACACACCTTATTTAAAAATTTTGAAAAATTCAACATAATGGTTTGAAACTTTTACGTAAACCTTTTCAAATGAAACTTTGATTTAAAAATATTTTCAAACCCTCTGGACAAGTAAAATAGGATGTAATGGATAATTTACACAACAGGTAGGACACTTAAACATCTAGTACTTAGATAGAGATATTATTTATTTTCTGGAGCTTTCAAGCCAGCAAGAGTGTTATTGTCCCTTTAAACAAACAGAATTCTTAAAGTAACAATATTGTTATACAGGTCACAATTCTATGGAATACAATTACTGCTTTTTACTGAGCGACGTTTCGACTAGGCTTCTCTAGTCATTATCAAGCTATGATAAAAAATGAAAATATGACAGGACAATATATACATGTACACCACAATGCTAAGTTAATGATGACAAACCAGGGATGTAACTTAATTACGTGTACCTAATGGTAATCTGATTTAATTGTACGCTAATAAGTAATAATACCAATTAACCTAAAAAATTGACTAATTGATTAATGGATAAGTTGTTGTGGAGTATACACAGTGATTAGTGGGTTTTAATAATACAAACGTTGCAAGAAAATGAAAATTGATGAAATGTTATCAACGACCCCTTTCACTGAAATAAATACAAATGGTAAAAGAATAGATTGTTGTGGAGTATTTACAACGATTTGATGAGGTTTTGATAATGACAACATCCCACGAAGATGAGATTTGATTTCTGTTATAACCAAAATAATTGATATGTGGATGTTGATGCAAGTGATTACACTGATATACGAAAAACCCTTAGAACAATGACTGCACAATGATCAATAGTCCCCTGAAGGTTGACAATTTAAAATATTGAGTTAATATTGTTATTAACTTATAAAAAACATGGAGTTAAGATATACTATTCCATAGTATAGCTGTTTACAATCTTTTTTAATCTTACAAACATCATCATTTCTCAAATACAATGTTTGAAAACTCTTATTCTTAAATTAGTTGGTTACCATAATAATGTATGTTTGCAGTATGAGATATTATAGAGTGACACAATGGGCATACAACTAGAGCTTACACTAATATTTATGTATTGAATAAAAAGCATGATTAGAGGCTAATTAATGACAATAAATTATTCTGGCTTGCATCAGCATGGACTTACTACTGCTTTAGAATATAATGCAAAATTTAATTTGTTTTATGTTATGCATTTTATTGTTTTAGAAAATCAAATATAAAAACAAAACAAAAACAATTTTACAGTCAAAAGAACACACAGCATTGTGATTAAAATTTTCTGTTACATTGCACAATATGCAAAAATGATATTTCTGCATATTATTACCCAGCTGAGTAAATTGTGTATCTTATGTCGTCAATAAAGCATTGTAATGCAAATCTGTATTGTAAATCATTAAAGAGATTTCAATTCCAGATCAGGATTAAGCTTTAAAATTTGAAATTTATTGAGGCAATGTGGTTGCCAATATGTATTATCATTCTATTCAATCAGCCACCATATGAGAAAGTTGTCAAAAAGTGATAACAAATGGGACATAGTTCTGATTGATAGTTAGATATTCAGCACTTTTATTCTTTGTACTGGATGATATATCATGATAACCTTGTAAATGTTTCACGAAATATGTCCTCAGGAGAAGAAGGTTCATATCTCTCGAGTATTTCAAAAGAATCAAAGATTATCTATCATGTCTATCACAGAAATGAGCATGCCAAAATGTGGTGTTGCAGAAAAAAAAAGAAGAAATTTTACCTCTTCAAAATCCAATCTATCGATCAACATGAAGGTTCCCAGAGTGGCGTCTAGACGGAATTTATCTTTTCCCCAATCAGACTGCAGCTCATAAGTCACATGACCTTCTGGACCCTCATCCAAATCAGTTGCAACCACACTAGCAATGGTTGTTCCTACGGCAGTATCTTCAGGGACATCAAAAGAATAAAATGATTGATTGAATGATGGATTATGATCTCGAACTGTGATTTGGACAGTGGTCTGGCTGCTTTGAAATCCATCAGTAGCTTCTACTGCCACTTTATAAACAGATCTTCTGCTTCTGTCCAAACGCTGTTTGGTAGAAATGGCACCTACAATTAGAGGATCATTTTCAGTAAAGTTCATAAATATATAAGAATATCAGCAATGAATCTTCATGATGAGCAAAAACTATTTTTGGAGGCAATTTTGAATTCATCAAAGATGCAATTAAATAGAGCTTTTAATATGTTTGTATAAAAAAGGTATGAGTGACAATCGTAACTATGTTAACGTGTGTGATTGATCTGAAAGTATGAAATAAACAAACAAAACTAGCTATTTGATTGGTCAGTAGTCTGCAGGCTAGTTCCACACAAAAATGGTGACTTGGTAAAGCAATGTATGGTACTGCGAGAGGTATTGTATTTAATTTTACTCAAACTGGGAATGGAATCGGGTTATTATTCATAATAAATATATCATCTTACCTGTCTGTTTATCAATAGAAAACAAATCACTATCATCAACATCAAGTAGTTTTACCGTAGCAGCACCAACACTATCAGCATCATCATAACTAACTCTTGTAAAACTCTTCCCTACTTCCTGATCAGCAGAAATACTGACAGAATAAAACTGGCTGGTAAATCTTGGTGGCGAGTCATTTTTATCCAGTAATCGAACTTGCACCTGTAATTAGAAAATAATATAAACATTAGAACTTGTAAGAAAAAACAACTATTGATTAACTTCCCAAGTTAAATTCTTTTAACTTTTTTTTGAAGTCACAGATTGTTATTTGCATTTTTTTTAGACAATGTCTAATTTGTCATGTCTTAATTCATGCTAAAATGTGCTCAAATTGATTGTTTAACATTTAATTAAGAAAATTAAACCAAAATATCAATAGTAGATAATATCCTGGCTTGGATTAAAAAGATGCCCATCAAAACATTTCAGAAACAATTATAGCTGGCACTGGCTTGTTTTGAGAATACTTCCTTTATACCATCTAAAACTGATACCAAATATTGACAAATTTTTAATTCATCATGTCTTTGTAAATATTGAACAAAATAAATCATATTTGAACTCGTATGCCTTTTAGAGATTCCACTTTCACAATATAGTATAGTTTGCAAGACATTGAAAGTACATTTAAGACTAATCTATGTGTTTTCCAACCCATTCTGAATATTTCAAACAAATTTACCAAAACAAATATCTTTTATTCACATTAGTCCTAACATGGCTGCTATTAAAGGACAAGTGTACTGCCATATTTAATTTACCGGTACTTTAAACAAAAGATTCTTTCTTTAGATCTGTTTACTTTTTGAAATAATCAAGGTGACCTTAAACCAGTTACAACTTCACTGAAAATCCAGTGAAGGATTTTAAGAGAGGGAAAAAGAGTAATACTTTATATTGATGAGTGCGAGGCATAGGATGCAAAAACAAATGACACATGCGTTTACGTGAAATCCAAATCTGTACAATCAATTCTGTATGCAAGGTCTAAAAAGACAAATAGGTTAAGACGCTAAAATTCAACATGTACGACTGATCAACAAACATGATGGCTACCGTATACAAACAAAACAAATACAGACACAGTCAACAACTGTCAGATAAGAGGAATTTGGGTCAATCTTCAGACAACTAAAACGTTTGGTAATTATCCAATACGCTTGTTTGAACTTTCTGTAAAACCTAATTTAGGACATGTACCAAAAAAATGGTTTTGGTACACTTTTAGTCCAAAGGCTTTAGTTTCGACTTTTCTGGTGATCAACGACAAATCTGACTTTAAATCCTTTTATCTTGAACAACATGATTAAAGTAAACCCAATCATTAATCCTCCATCTTTAAACGTCACGACAAAAAAACCTTCAAAATTTCCTCAAAACGATAGTTTTTACTAATTCGTTAAATATTTCCTTTTTCTGCAGACATTAAATTTGTTTTGTTTTGTTTTTGTCAAAGCAGGACACTTGCACGATTTTCATTTAATGGAGTTTGGATTTACTTGCAGGAACCAAATCAAAGCAATTGCTAATCAATATAAATTGGAAAGACTCGGGAGATTGCAATATCTCTAACATGGATTTTCAATATATTAAGCACATCAAAAGGATATAAAAAATCAAATGAAGTTGGTAATTTGCTTTTTTACGCTATTGGTAACTGATCGTTTAATCTATTAATCTGCTAAAAGGCAGGATAATCTATTTCAATACACCGGTAGTCTTTATCAAATAGTCTTTAAATCAATTCAAAGATATTGATGGAGTGAAGAGGAAAACATTAGCCGTAACTGTCAATTTGATACAATCTATCTCCCTCTTACACTATGAAGATTCTGATACTGACTACCAGTAGAGAGTAGACTCTATTAACGAGTCCATCTATCATCCGGTGAAGTAACTCCGCTGGGAGAGATATTATATCTTTAAAATAGATATGTGTCAAGATCACTTATCTTTTAAATGGAAATAAATATATATGTAATTTCACTGTGGAATATTTTTGTAAACCAAGAACACCATAACGTCACATACAATAACAATGATATTGTCGAAAAATATTGGAAAAGACGGTCAAGGGACAACGACAGTTAACTTTAGGAATTGTATTGCAACAAACAAATTTGAGTTGACCAACCAATAAAAGAAATCAATTCCTCCACAAAATCAACGAAAATCACTATGGTATCAACATTGAACGATAAAGACATTAACAGATATTCCTAGCCAAATATTGTAATGCAAATTATGGACAAAGACAAATACTGTGGTTAAACAACTCTTCAAAAAGGAGGTATGCTTAACATCATATCAAATAAAACCAATATATTCCTATCATGGTGGAGTGTCTGTATTACCAATAAGGAGGCATTGGGACCACTATGGACGGCACGCCACCATGTACCCATCTTGTTTACTTATGCTGTCAATGTCCACTTTACTGTTTACTTACTAGAAGAGGCTACTCTATCTCCACTTTACTGCTATTGAAACAATAAACTAGCCAAAACGAGCCCAACCTTTGTATGTAAATGTAGCAGTAAGTTTTGAAATACTTGTTGTAATTGGTAAAAATGAGGACCATTCAGAGAATTCTAACAAATTCTTCAGTATTCTTGTCTTGTGAAAAGACCATTTGTCGGTGCTTACGACAGATACACAAGAGGGAATCCTCATACAATTTCGATTATCATTACAGTTTTATCTGGGATGTACATCATCATCCTTGTCAAGACTTTCTTTCTAAGGTCATTTGGGGAATAACAAGATAAAAAAAATGGTAAACAGCCTAAATTCATCAGAAGCAGTGAAAGGCTTACAGCCTCATCTCATCAGAAATCCTACAAAGCATCATGCTTCTTGTTTGATATTCAGGTCTACGATATCACCCTTGGTGGAAGTGGATGTAAAACTCCACCAAACGTTTGTGAAAAATTCATTTGAGACAATCATTTTTATTCTAATGATATTCATATATTTTTGACGTATTCTTAATCGTCTTAAGAGATTTCATTTCAAAAACAAGTTTCCAGTCAGAAATATTGATCTGAAAAAGGAAATTGAATTTTTAAGAAGAAGCAGAAAGTTTAATTAAACTTTGTTCCATTCTCTGTGTACATGTACATGGGCCAAGTGCAATTCTGAAACATATTCAACTCTGATCTAATACCACCCCAGACATGAATCCAGTCAAATAACATGCAATAATCTTCAACATAACAATATAGCTAGTCACTTGTCTGTTGGCAGAGTTTGATGCATTGTCCTCAAATAATCATAACAATGAAATTCTCGAGTGATGGAGATAATATTAGATACTTGTTCTTCAAAATAATATATCCGAAGACTCTGCTATTTTTTTGAGTGTCCGTGACAGAGAATAATGAAGGAATTGATCTCCTGTGGCTTACATAGCCTCCTGGAGTCCTTATTAATTTCACAGTTTTTTTTTCATTTTTTAAAGCTAATAAAAGCCCAAACTGACATATTACAGGTGACCCCTTAACCTTCACTATGTCTGTTATGGGAGAAATTTACATTTTATGAAAGTTTTATTTCCCCATTTTGACACATTACATTTTGTTGGGGTCACCAAGATCACTTAAGTGAATATATCATAATTAAACTTATCCACCAGTTTTTTTTTTCCAGGCATTAATAACATGACTGTGGAGTACCATATCTGGCCCAAACAGCTTAAATAAGCTATTGAACAATGTTTAAACTGATTTTGAAAAGGAAAAATTCTTTAAGTTTAAAGGAGTACAACTTCTTTGTTCTGATGTGTTATGTTCATTAGTGATGGCAGAAGTTTTATATTATCAAATTTTAATTTTAAATACGAAGTATTTTTAGTTTTCTTTTGGCTTAAAATGAGGAATATTGTAAAACTGCATTGATACTCATGGATCTAAAATTTTAACTGTCAATGAATCTTAATACCATTCAAACTGTTTTTTGGTATTTGAGTTTTGAGATAGCCTATTGAATTGTCCGCTGCTGTAAGTAATTAAAACTTCAGCACTAAGAATAAGAAACGAATATCTGTTTAAAGCATATTATTACTTAATTACTACATGTATGTATAAAATTTGATGAGGGTCTATATTTATAAACTTTTATTATTATTACAGTAATGTATTGTTACACTTGATTTGGCAGATCATCAAAACAAGTTCCACAACTTATACTGGCCTGGCTATACAGGCAGCATGCTTGCTTTGTTTGTGAAAATAAACTCGAGAGACAAGTTTACCCTATCTTATATCTATAAAATAAAATCACAAATAGATTAGGTAAATATTATGCTATACTAGACGATACTAGTGGAATTAGCCTTACAGACAAGTGTCTAAATCATTAGGGAGAAATGCCTGCAGGGAGCAGTCATTGTAAAGTAATCCAGCTGTTGATACAGATCATCATTGCTACCCCCTTCCCCTCTTTATATCCATGATCCTACCACACTTCCTACAGTTAAAATACATAACCTTATCTTAAAATAATACAATCTAGAATTATCTTCTCTTGCTAAAGAAACAAACTTTTATTTGGATAGTAAAGATATATGCTACTCCTAATTAACAGTGTAGCTTGGTGTAGAGTATGCAATGAAAATAATGGATTAATTTGAACCCAGAAGTGCACATACTTATGTCTTTTGTATTTGTCTTTAGATAAAAACAACGTTATACAAATTTTGAAGCAAAAAGTTGCTAGACACAGGAATTTTGAAAAGACTAAAATATTTGCTTTTAGACATTCAGAAACCTGGCAGACAAAATATGTTGTGCCTCTGGAGACAGATCCACCAGTAGCAAATACACAGAAATTGCATCATAAAGGAATAATTGTAGATTTTTTCAAAAAAGATGTCAAGAGTTACCTCCATTCCCTCACATCTCTACTGTAACATTACACAGATGCTAATATTTATCACGGAGGTACTTCAAACAGACCATAAAATCATTCTTGTAGCTGGCAGTCTGTAGACATTTATAAGATAAACACTTAACTAAACCACTTGTACAAATTACTTCAACTTTATAAACTGATGAACTAGCCACCATCAATCTTTACAATCACAACACATTTGTCAAATTTTATCAGGTTTATCCTTTTTTTTCTGAGATCAAGGTTAACAAATACATGAAACTGAATCT